ATTTGTGCATGTTTGTGAGGGAGGGTGAGAAACTCAGGAGCTCCTGGGTCAGGAGAAGCAAACTAAACGGATATTGTTGTGGGTATCTCCCACAGCCCAATCAATCAAGAAGGAAAGACAGATAGAACCTTCTTTAAACAACTCAGGAGTTACTCAGGACAGACTAGAAAAATTCCTGTCTCTTGTAACTGGAAAGATCTGCCAATTGGAATAAACTCTTCAGTGCCTTCAGTCACAAGGTCATCACTCACAAGATGTTCTGTTAGGCCTGCTGTGTGTCTCTATCCAGCAAAGTTTTGAGGAGAAAATTACTAATCACACTAGAAGAGTGAGTCAGGGATGCAGAAAGCTGCATCAGTCCACGGGACTGGATGGGCTACCACTGACAGTGCAGCAGAAACTGCCCAGTGGGATGACCATGACTGATACACTGAGGGGCAGGGCTACCACCCACAGAGACCTTCACTGGCTGGAGAAGGGTGCCAGTGAGAACCTTATCAAGTTTAATAAAAGCAAATAAATTGTCAGGCTGACAGAAATTCTTCTTCCAGCCAGCTAAGCACTCGTCATCAACCACATCCATACATTTGTGTAGAGTTTTGGGAATGTCAGTACAAGAGTGATATTGACAAACCTGAGAGAGTTCAGAGGGTCGAGTGAGAAGACCATGGCTGCAGGAGTAACTGCAGCCTTCCAGCACCTAAAGCAGGATTATACAGAAGACAGAGCACAGATTTCTCAAAGGTGTTCAGTGAAACAAGAGGGAAAGGTCACAATTATGGACGTGGGAAATTCTCACAGCAGATTAGGAAGCAATTTTTCACCATTACAGTGGGTAAGCACTGGCACACATTGCCCAGAGACACCATAAATTGCCACCTTTAAATACTTTCAAATCTGATCAGACAAGGTCCTGAACAACTTGATTTAACTCCAAAGCTTCAGGCTTGAGCAGTTTGTGCCTGCTTTCAGCAGATGCTTTGGACTAGATGACCTCCAGGGACCTCTTCCAACTCCTGATGTTTCTACAGCTCTGTAAGCGCCATAAAAATATATATAAATTCTACAATGTTAAATCATAAAACCATAAAAACCAAACAGACCCAGATGGGATTTAAGCATGAAAGATTACCAATATGTGTCACAGCTCCTATTTTATCATTCAGCTTTACTAGAGAAAATGATTTACAACACTATAGTGAGAATCAAGAGACCCAGTCTGCAGAGGCAAAACTGAATCCAACAAAAAATATTTTTGCTGCGTTTATTTTGTAATTATCCCACCAACATACAATGCCAAGAGCTGCAGAGCTGGTGGCACTGCAGTCATTTTCGAAGCCTAGATAAAATACTCTGTAAGTCTGCAATACTTCATAGATGAACATGCAGAAGGTTACGTACAACTGACTTGTCATCTCTATTTTATTTCACAGAAGCAGTGCATTCTGAGGTAAAAGGAGAAAAAGTTCAGAAAAAACCTGCAGTTCTCAAAGGACATTGTTGATAATTTAACCATATCAATAAGTAAATGTCATGAAATTTGTGCATAATCAAGTCTCTGAAGAGATAAGCCCCTTCTTAAATAATGGGATGAGAATTAATGAAGCCTACCTTCAGTGAAACTCACTTCATAACCTGGCTTTATTATTATAGACAGAAAATTTTCTGTACACTATCACCTCTGCTTTTCCTGACACTCAGTGTCAGAAAACTCAGTTTAGGACAGTTTTTTACAAGATTTGGTTACAAGCAACATCCATGTAAACAATTAAAACTTTAATCTCTAGTTAGGTATCAGTAAACAAAACAGAGACAGAAGCAGTGGGGACAGTACAAATGCAGAGTCTGTGGACACTTCTTTTGGATCTCTTCCCATCAGGACTAACGTGGCAAAATCTGGAGCTGAGATGCTTGTGGAGCTGCTGGTTAATAACACACATGGACCCCATGACTGACACTTGAGTTGTCCTGTGCTTCCCTGTGGATCTCTGTTCCCAGTGCTTCCTGCCACAGCAGGCAACAGATCCCAGATGCGACGGACTCCTTCTAGAGCATGCAGAAAGATGGTCCAGAGCCTCCTCTTCATTAAAAACCCCAATCAGCTTTTGTCAGGAGTTCAGTGTTGGCATGATGGCAAGATCAGACAGCTACATCAGTTCAAACAAGTTTTTTTATTTCATGTCCAGATTAAATGTTATCTGTATTACTAAAATATTGTGCGAATACCATGATTATGGACAGATAATGATGAAGCATAAATTTAAACCCATGGATGCTGACTGTGCTAGGCATCACTGTTTGTATGGTGAAATGCAAGCTGATGGAAAAAGTGGCTGTCTGACTTCACAGTGTTTTACATATATTTTGGCAGGGTACAAACAATAACATGGAAATATAACTTTAGATAAATCAGGTTCACATGTTCCAGGGAGGGATTTGAGCTAAAGGTCATGACAGTCAGAGGAAGACTGCGTGGGGTCTGAAGGAGTATAGAGCAAATAAACACACACACACACCATGACAAATCTTTCATTAGTGCTATTTTTGTCTCAGAAAAGAGAACAGTTTACCCAAAACTGCAGTAAGTCTAAACAGTTTTAGAGAGTAGTAGAAGGCTGATAATCTTCTGTGCTCTTTACTGTGAATAGATTTTCCTATTTATTCATTGTGTTTAGCACAAAAGACAAAGTCTACCTCTGCTAAATGCTATAATAAGCATCTTACAGAGAGGAGACTTGGACTTCAGTTTGTTGACTTTTTTTCTATGTGAACAACAGCATATCCCTCTGGCCTGTTTTGGACTCGGGTTACAGGTTCCTCCCCTAAAAACCCGTACTCATTTTCCTCTAGACTTTCTTCCAGACTAGTTTGTAAAAACCATGCACTTACCTAAACAGGCCAGGGGAGCTGTTCCATTTTTTAAACTATTATTAACAGTATGTGTGTGTTTTTTCATCTTCTTTTTTTTTTTTCCTTCCAAAGCAGAAATTCTTTTGATTAAAATTACCTGGTAATACAGCAAATATCTTTCTCTGAAAATGAGCTTTTATTCCATAGACCACAATGCCATCATGGTAGGTCTTCAGCATTTACACCTATATATAGGTTACACCCAGCATTATACATACACCTTTTAACATGGTAATTTCCCCAGTGGCTTGATCAGAGTTGTGATCAGTGACACTTGTCATCCAAAAATTTAACTTTTCAGAACACATATTATAAAATCTGTTTATATAACTTAAATCCTGGTGAAGGTACTTAGCTGTCATATTTGCAGCTTTTCACTTATTTTTTTTAACAGCAATTAGAGTAATTTAGAGCAAAACAGGCTATCAAAAATGCGTATTTTAAAAACATCTTTTGAAAGCCAGAAAATTTGGGTTGTTTTCCCTTTGGGGAGAGGTATTCGAGAAGAAACAAGTTTTATCCAGAAAGTATGCTTGCAAATACAAAGAATAAGTTTCTTCATTTATTATTTTTATCAGAAAAATAATAATCCCTTAAAAAGCAGAGAGGTGTCTTTTTGAGTCTAATGGTGTAGCAATATATAAAAATGCTGTGTTATCTTTCTTGGTTTGTATTCCAAAAAGGTGAGCTGTATTGCCTGAGTTAGAAGTAGCAAACATGGTTTACTTGGATTATCACTGTCTGTACAAGTGGCTCAGACAGCAGTCCAAATGGCTCCCTTCTAGCTAGAAAGGATGGGCTTTCTGGGTGAGGGGGCTGAAAATTTCTCTGAGGTTTCCCTTTTGGCACTTTCTGCATCTTGGTCTGTCAAAGTAAGAGATGCAGTGGAATTTCCTCCTCTCTGGGGAAGGAGTGACACTTCTTCAGAAGAAGCTTCTATAAATACATTGGCAGCAAAAGGAGGGCTAAGGAGTCTCCATTCTTTGTTGGATGCACAGGGTAGCACAGTGTCAAGGGATGAGGAAAATGCTGAGGTACCTAATGCCTTTTTTGCCTCAGTGTTTAACACCAAAGCCATCTGCCCCCAGGATACCCAGCAATGACAGCTGGAAGTTAGGGATGAGGAGCTGAATGAAGGCCCCATAATCCATGAGGAAAGGGTTAATGACCTTCTGTCCCAGTTAGACACACATCTATGTGCCCTGATGTGATGCACCTGAGAGTATTGAGGGAACTGGCAAAGTATCTTTCTAAACCCCTTTCAACCCTTTTCCAGCTGTTTTGGTTTATCAGAGAAGTCCTGATTGACAGGAAATCAGCAAATGTAATGCCCATCTACAAGAAGCGTTGGAAGGGTGATCTGGGGAACTACAGACCTGTCAGCCTGACCTCAGTACTGGGGAAAGTTGTGGAGCAGATCATCCTGAGTGCTATCACGTGCCATGTGCAGGACAACCAAGGGCTCAGGCCCAGCCAGTATGGGTTTATGAAAAGCAGGTCCTGCTTGACCAACCCGATCTCCTTCTACAGCAATGTGATCCACTTAGCAGGGGAGGGAATGTCTGTGGATGTTGTCTGTCCAGACTTTAGGAAAGCATTTGAAACTGCCTTCCACAGCACTGTCCTGGAGAAACTGGCTGCTCATGGCTTGGATGGGTGGATTCTTGACTGAATAAAACTGGCTGGATGGCCAGGCCCAGAGAGTGGTGGTGAATGGAACTAAATCCAGTTGGTTCTGGTGACTGGTGGTGTTCCCCAGGGCTCACCACTAGTGCCAGTTCTGTTTCACATCTTCACCGATGATTCGGATGGGCGGATTGAGTGCATCCTCAGTAAGTTCACAGATGACACCAAGTTGGTTGGGAGTGTTGATCTGCTGGGGGGTAGGAAGGCTCTCCAGAGGGATTGTGACAGGCTGGATCGATGGGCCAAGGACAGCCTTGTGGAGTTCAATAAGGTGAACCATGTGCTGGGTCCTGCACTTGGGTCAAAACAATCCCATGCATTGCTACAGGCTGGGGGAAGAGTGGCTGGAAAAGGACCTGGGGTTGCTGGTCAATAGCCAGCTGAACATGAGCCAGCAGTATGCCCAGGTGGCCAAGATGGCCAATGGCATCCTGGCCTGGATCAGGAATAGTGTGGCCAGCAGGACCAGGGCAGAGATTGACCTTGGCACTGGTGAAAGCCGCACCTTGAATCCTGTGTTCATTTCTGGACCCCTCAGTTCAGGAAGGACATTGAGGTGCTGGAGCATTTCTAGAGAAGGGCAACAGAGCTGGTGAAGGGTTTGGAGCAAAAGTCTGACAAGGAACAGCTGAGGGAACTGAGATTGTTTCATTTGGAGGAAAGAAGGCTCACGGGTTACCTCACTGATCTCTACAATTACCAGAAAAGAGGTTGTAGTGAAGTGGGGATTGGTCTCTTCTGCCTTATCTTGCGTAAAAGGAGAGGAAACAGCCTCAGCTTGCAGCAGGGGAGGGTCAGATTAGGTATTAGGAAAAAATTATTCACTGAAAGGGTGGTCAGACCTTAGAATAAATTGTCTAGGGAGTTGGTGGGGTCAGTCTCTGGAAGTGTTCAAGAGGTGTCAGGAAGTGGCACTTGGGGATATGGTTTAGGGGTGATTATGGTAGTTCTAGGTTGTCACTTGGACTTAGATGATCTTGAAGAGCTCTTCCAGCTTCGATATTTATGTGATTCTGCCCCACCTTACCACTGCCAACTCTCAAAGGTTGGAAACAAAGTGTTTCCTCACAAGAAACTTCTTGCCTAACCCTACTGGGGCTGTGCTGCTGGGATCTGCTGTGCTTAGAGCTGCCTTTGGAACCTGTAAAAAGGGAAATAAGATCCCTTTCTTTTCCCATCTTTCTTAAGGGAATTTCTCAGAAAAGTTAAAGCAGTTTGGTATCACAAATTAGTCTTCATTTTCTGCCAAATTAAGATGGAATACAATGTGCCTCTTCTGGCATTTCCTTCACCACCAGTCCAAGGGCTGCTCTGAAAACATCCACCTTGTGCTGCTGTGCAAAAGCCTCTGTGCTGATCATATCCCCCCCAAAAGATACAGGGTGCAATCTCAGCCTGCTTTACTGTACCCAGTTTGGGAATGCCAGTCTCAGAGGGTTTTGAGTATTTTCTTCAAATACTTAACACACTTCTGCATCACCTTTTCCTCAGCAAGGAACCTTCTCTAAGCTCAGGGTGGGCCCACTGCTGTCATTCACAAGTAGAATACGTTTCCTTTGGAAGGTGTAAGATAGAGAAACCTCAGATGTAAAATTCTTCTTCATTAACTGGTGAAGCTGGGCAAACACGGTCATCCAGAGAACAGGGAGCTGCTCTCAAGGGCTGTTTGTGTTGCTCGGAGAGAGATGCTGACATGAAAGAGCTGGAAGACCATTCTGAAAGAGAAGGCAGTGAACCATCAGCTGACTCAAAAGTATTGCACATGGCTGATACAGGCCTTCCACTGGTGGCTGCCTTTTTAGCCCTATTGACAGTTTGTTTCTGTGATGGAAGAGAGTCTTCCAACTCACTGCAAAATCCATTAAGAGCAGAGTATGCAGAAACCACAGACAGGTCTGAGAAGGACAGCTTCATCCCTGTGTCCACATCAGTCTCCTGGGCACCCTCCAAGTCATCAATGTTAAGCTTGGGGCTGCATTTCCATGTTTTTAGCCTGGCTGTAGGTGACCCAGTGTTTAAAAACTGAAATGGTTCACTGAAATGAAATGTCTCTGATGCTGAAGCGGAGTTCACTGTGGGCAAGCAGAACAGAGACTTGCTTCGTTGAAATGACCAAGAAATGCTGGAGGCACTCCTGGATCTGCGTGTGAAGTCTCCTTGATCACCATGTCTCAAGTCCTGCTGGGAGAAACCAAGATAATGACCAAGGCCATTCGTGTGATGTACCTTTTTTTGACCCATTTCTTGTGGCTGTTCAGAGACAGATCGGTGGCTCTGAGGAAGAAAGGCTGGCAGAGTGGTGAATTGGGAATCTGTTGACACAGATGGATATGGTTGCTTGTTCTGCTTTGCAGACTTCCTACACCAACTGTGTGCTTGCTGCAGTTGGGAGAGGGAGAGAAGAAGATCACATTAATACAGAGTTGGCAGTTTTACAACCCTAAGTCTCCATTGCTGAGTTGTTACTGCAAATAATTATGAAGCAGACCTCAATCAGTATGCTTGCGGCAAATGTTTCACTGCAATAACAATGACAAACCACCCTGCCAAAATCCCAAATATTTACAAAAGGAGCCTCAAAGACAACAAGAATAAATGGTAGAGAAGCCTTGCCTTGTGGGCTGAATTACACTAGCTTGGACTTCTCACTTCCTACTGACTTAATCCAGATTCATTCATATTCTGTCTTCCAACATTACTACCTTAGTGGACAGCTTAAGAAAAAAATAAAGAAATGGAAGAGGTATATTATATAATTATAATTTCTCTTTTCTTCCTTACTTTTTTTCTTGTTTTGTTCTGTCCCCCTTTAAAACATCAGAAAGCCTTCAACAAGCATGCTCATTCTGTTTTCTCAGTGGGAATTTACTACTTCTCTCAACTCTTTCATATTTTCTTTCTTACCTAGTTTGCTCTATTAACTAGCTCACAGTGAGGTTACAGACACACATTTAGTTTGCTTGTAGACACCTAGACTGAAGACTCAAGCTCGTGGTTGTGATCCAAATCTGGACCTCAGAATAAATCTCAGTCCCAGGGCAGGATTCAGTTGCCTACCCATCAGATACTCAAGCATTAGAACAGGGAAAGCAGCTGTGATGCATGGTGAATCCAACATCCTTCTCAAGATGGAGCTGGAGCCACGTGGCTTTCCTATGGAGCTAGACACTGATGTCTGGATAACTGAACTGTGTTTGGGCAATTGTGAGGTTTTTCACCTTCTCCCTTATTTTAGTGAGGCTTTTAGAAATTAGCCTTTCAAAAAGTTTAATTTAAAGCCTTTTAATGGAATTTCTTGCATAATAGAACACAGTTGATCTCTGCTCCAAAAGGGACAGGAAATCATGGGGCAAAGTGCAAGATCATCAAGAGAATAAACAATAATCTCAGCTATGGGACTTGTCAGCTGAAAACAGGAGAGGAGAAAGAACTGGGTATACTGATCTCTTTCTGCTATTAAAGCAACAAGGCTGTGACAACATGGTATTGGGCACTCTCAAGTGAGTTGAAAAAGCACTGTTATGGCCTCACCTGGAATACTGCACATGATTCCAATCACACCTATGTGCAAAAGATTAACTACCCATTAAAAAAATGGAACCGCAAACTAATAGAAGGTTTCTAGTAACAACAGAAGGAGAAGAATTTTCTGGGGTGAGTAATGGATAAAGACAGAGCTTCTTCATTTTACCAAACAGATTATATGACATGAGAGAAAGAGCTGAGACCTGGCAACCAAGGAGGTTCTTTGTACCCAGTCTCTAAAAAAGCTCCATACATTGCTGCTTCCAACATCTTGCTAGTGTACATCACATTGTCTTAGTGACCCAGATCTGTCATAGCCATCTTCTGGTTTTTATTGAAGTGATTTTATAGGCAAATAAAGGATTTTCACATCTGCAAAAAATGCTTGGTTCTTTCATGATCTCTTACTAGAGATCATAGGACAGCCAAACCATAGAAGTTCATTTAGATGCTGTAGATGAGTACATATATATATGTATACTATATATATGTGTGTGTGTGTGTGTGTGTGTGTGTATATAATAAGGTGTGTTAATTCATAACTACTTCTGTGTAATATAGTAAGCTGTTTCCCTTAATGTCATAAAGAATTATATTAATGAAGAAATTGAGGACAAAAGAGTCAAATGTAAAAAGTCAGTTGTCAACAAAACATTAGCCAGAAATCACGTTCGACCTCTACAAATAACATTACTTTATTAGTGCAATATGTGAACCAATTTGTTTAAAAATTACTCTGCAAGATGAAAAGCTTGTCTGTGAAGAAAATACCAGCTGTTTCTTAACTGAAGACATTTTTGGATAACCCAGAAATAAGAATCTGACATGCTGAAAGTCCACAAACAGAGCACTGCATTCTTTTGATGTGTTTGACCAAGAAAACACTCCTCATTATATTTTGTTAGCATTAACAAAAGGCACCATTTTTTTTCTCTGCAGTAGCTCTGTTATGTGATACACTACATGAACTCAACCACCATGCTCAGGGAATCAACAGAAGCACCTTCAGAACACTTCTAACCAATTGCCTCACTGTATCTTATTTTTACGCAATACTTGTGGTTTTGCAGGTTTAAGCTGACAATTTGGCAGATCAAGCGATCAAACATCCACAGAAACCAGGGATCCAAGCAGTGCAGTCTTCCTGTTTGTAAAAAGGATGGGACCACTGGTAGCACCTTGGACAAACCTGGAGCTGAAAACATAAGGTTTTTGGGAACAGATCTATTCTTGCACTGCAGAGAGTTCTGGGGCCAGTACAAAAGCCTTGCTTTTACTTTGTGCAGGCCACACCACCTGTCTACCACACGTATGTCAGGTGGCATCATCAATAAAATTTAGCTGTCTAGTTAGTACAGCCAGTGGGGTCTGGAGAGCAATTCAGCTTTCCCTGAAAAAATTCTTGTGTTTGGTTGGTTAGCTGAATTTCTTTCTATGTCCTTGGGCTGTACTGAGTATGCACCCATTGACTGCAGTGAGAACACAGACTGTAGTTGACAACCTACTTCAGGTAAGATATCAGTTTTAGGGTTTTGCTATTTTAAACCCTTTTTTCCTAATTCTTTAATGTTCCTGCAGACAGATAGATGCATTTCATTTTACACTAAGTATTTGCTGTTAATCTTGCTCCTGGTCAAGCCCAGCTGGCCTGGCAGGAGGTAATGGTGGATGGTGAGGAGAAGGGGGCAAGCAAAGCCTGCTCCCAGAATGGCTGCCTGCAGGACAGATCAAGTGACATCACTTATAAAGCTTATTTCTGAACAGCTGTTTGTAGGGGGAACTGCTCACCTTGATCCTTTTTTTAGGTAAGATTTAGAAGACCTATTTTCCAATGCTGCTCTTCATTCTATGGGCAGAAATGGGAAATAATGTGGAGGTGTTATTTTCATACTTTTGTCTAAAAGCAACATAACCGAAGACTTTCCTGGCTGGGAGAGTACTAGCAGCAGTACCAGACAATACCAGCAGCAGTAGTGCACTACAGGTAGAACACTGTACCACAGGTAGCTTGTCACAAGCTCCACCCCATGAAATACTAGTGAATAAAGATTACAGGCTAATCCTGTATTGTAGGGAAGTGGATTATGTGGACTAATAAGATTTTTCTATATCTACATTCTCTAACTTGTCAGAGATCACAGAGGGGATTCAATGATTTAGCCAGGTTTAAAAATCAGGCAAAACTAGCTCCTTGTCCTGTGCCAAGGCCATTGACTGTGCTCCCCTGTGCCACCTTGGCAGGGCACACCGAATGCTGCACGAGGCCTTGTGCGCTTGTGTGACCGCTCCTCTTCAGTTTTTGGAGGAGGCTTCTCTGCCTCCTTCATCCTGCCACCGGCTTTGAAAACAGTTGCATCTTTTCTGATTTCTTTTCAAGTCCTCATCATCAGCCTTCTCATGGCTTGCTAATGCTCTCAGCATTGCTTGTTGCCTCCCTGCTGCCTGGCAGAGCCCTGCCTGCTACTGCTGTGCTGCCTGCAACAGGCACAAGCACCAGAGAGATGCCAGAGAGCATGTCAGTCATCTGAGGGGACAAAGACACGTTGCAAAGTGACATGTTGATTTTGACCAAAATTCCAAATGCAGGGAGGTAGATTTGTCAGACCTTGCCACAAAGATGTGCAGCAAACCCAGTCACTGACTGAACAGATTAGCTCTCTAACAGAACAGATTTTTTCATCTGGTGCTAATCTGCTGCTCATTTATAATCTCTGCACAAATCTTTGTGAAGCCTGGAGGGATTTAGAGTCTTTGTGTTTTACAATGGGCTGCAGAAGAATTTCATGATGTATATCCGGGAATGCCATAAACAACTTGGGGTGAACCCTTCAGAAAAACACTTTCAGCTTGGGCTGCTGGGACCTAACAGAAAAAACCCTTGCTGCAGTCTATTTTAAGTTATCTGCTTTTTAAGAAAGCAGATAGAGATCTCCTTAAGCATTATCTGCATTAAGAACTGCCAGCAAGGCTTTGCTGAGGTCAGGACCCAGCCAGCACAGCAATGACATCACCATCTCGAGCCCAGATTTTGTCTGCCTTGCTCAACAGGAGTGTGATGGTGTTTGTTTAATTGTATTAAAACCAGCGGAATTGATCCAGGGGAAAAATATCAACACAAGAAAAAGTGGCAGAGATTAGTCCTCAGTATCGTCATAATAAGTCTTACTTGAAAGGCAAATAGTCAGAAGCACAGCATTTCAAAAAGGCAAAATGCACAGATTTAAAATTGAGCCTCTTTGAAAAGTGGCTTGTAATGTGTTCACAATAATAGAAAAGTTGAGTGTTTTGTAATACAAAATACATTCACTCTCAAGAATTTTTGCTGTGTGCATAGATTTGTAAGATATCCTAGTTTACCATGGAACTTAACTGGATAAAGTACCTTAGGCTGAAGAAAAACAAGTAAAAATCCCTTATATGAGTTAGTGACCGATCCTCTGTGCTCTCCCAATTCCCAGCCACCAGCATTAAGGACAACCAAACACTAATGTCACAAAAAGAAAAGGAAAAAATAGATTAAAATATTTTGAAAAACAGGAGACTAGAATTAGATTTGCAGATTAATTAAATCAGTTCATGGCATCTCCCTCAACTGAGTCAATTTTTGCTCTGAAAGTGTGGCCTTTTCACCAGTTTCAGAAGAAAGTAAATATAATTTTTGTAAAGTGCCCTGTACACATCCTTGCCTGTCATAAGACATAGAATGGGTTGGAAGAGACTTTAAAGATTGTATAGTTCCAACCCCCCTGCCATGGACAGGGACACCTTCCACTAGATCAGGTTGCTCAAAGCCCAATCCAGCCTGGCCTTGAACCCTTCCAAGGATGGGGCACCCGCAACTTCTCTGGGAAACCTGTTCCAGTGGATGCTTTTCTTGCCTTTCTTCCTCTTTGTGCTCAATTCTGCTGTATCAGCACTATTATGCATAATAATTCAGCAAGCTTGAAGGTCTTTTCTCACCTCCATTTTCCTTCCTGCAGACTAAACTGTTCTCTGCAAAAGTGCACTTTCTTTGCCAGTTTTTGTCTTTTTGCCTTCTCTGACCCTCATTTAGTTGCCGTTCTTTCTCTTTTCTACTTTATCTGAATCCTCTTGTCCCAACTCCTTGCGTCAGTCATGGCCACTACCTCTGCTCCTAAAACACATGATACAACTTCTCAACTCAAGATTACAGTTGCCCCATACCGATAAGAACATTGGCCGATTAATTCAGCAAATCAGCTAAAAAAAGAATCCCTCTACCTCCTCATAAGCTGTGATCTGTTAACATTTGCAGTGTTATTTCAAGGATGCCTTATTAAGCAACACTAGGCAGAAAATAGCCACCTCATAAACTGCACAGGGACTTTCTGGCATGTAAAACAGCAGCAGGCCCTATGCTTATGTGCTGAGACTCCACCTAGGTAAGATATTAATTTTTCTGGTGTCCACCTTCATCCTGGGCATGTCTGCATGTTCCATCTCACGCAGAGTGGCCAGGAAATCCTGCCAAAATATTATTTTACTTTTCCTACTCTATCCAGAGATGTTATCGTAATTTAAAGAAGCCATCTGTGCACTTTCTCCTCTCTGCTCACTATCCTTCCTTCCCAAACATGCATGGCCAAGCCAGTCCCATCAGTTACTAACCTTTCCTGCTTCCCAAATTGCACTGCCAGGAGTGCAAGTTGATTAGCACTTCATCTGTCTCTGTGTGGATTACGCTCAGAGGCAGCCAAGAATCTGGGCAAGACCTATAAATCCAGCAGAACACTCACTATACCAGTATATGATATATTCTTAGCTACATTATTTACATATTCTTCCCACTGCTCTGACAAAAGCTCCCCAGAGCTCCTGCTTCTGGGCTTAGTTCTGGTGAAGCAGTGTGGGTGTCTTCCCATAGGATGCAATCCTGTTCCTAAGGCTTGCTCCTGCTCCAGCCACTGAACCCTTTGCCTCAGCTGTTTTATAGCTGCACCCTCGGAGCAATTTGCCAACGTCTAAAAGCTACTGTGACAAGACAATTCTGAAGGGCTTCCTTGCAAATGAAGGAATAGTTTCTTGGCATTAAACAGATTTATCTTACCCATGAATAACTTTGTTGTCTCTTGAACTGACTTTATCTAAGCCCCTTGATAATTGCATTTGCAAAATGGATTAAGAACATGGATCAATCTGGCTGGCAAGTATCCAAGTCCCTGTCAGGAGAAGCAAGAGGTCGCATCTTGTTAGCTTCAACATGGAAGAACACTCAAACTTCAAACTTTAAAACATTGCCTGCAATTTAACAGGGATGTTAATCTACCATTTTTTGTATAATTATAATTTTAAAAAGGTGCAGTATCTGTATAAAGTAAAGAGAACCATTCTGATGATCACTATCAAATGATACGGAGGCTGAAAAATACTGAGAGGTCGTTGTTTAAGTTTATATAAACTGGGAAGAAGTCAAAGTTATTATCAATGCTGTGGCATGGATAATACTGCTCTTAGCAACTCTCTGTGACAAGTAAAAATGTAGTCTTGAATAAAAACTTACTCATTTAAGTTCAAAGATAGATACTATAATTGCTTTGAACTTAAATGAATAAAAGGAGTCCCTGGATCACCAAATCCAATGTTTCCTATAACCCATCCTCCATCATTCCCTAACTGACCATCCTGCCTTAAATTAAGGTTTTAACCTGCTCGCTCCTGCTGGGTGGATGCTATGTAGTTAGCTATGAATATGCACTAAAATCTATTTATTGGCTGGTTCTTGTTCCTGTATCAAAACAATCATCGAGTGAACTAGCCTTTTGCTGTTCCTGCTGTTCATCTTGTGGTCTGTCTTCCAGTCAGAGCTCCCTTCAGACTTACTTTGGTTGGGCTCAGATGACCCTACTCTTCCAGTTCCCCTCTGTAGGACTGTGTCTCCATTCCTCTGCTTGGGGTGAGAGCCCTTCCCTGTCCCTGCACCTTCTGAGGTCACCTTTCTGGAGCCCAGAGCTGAAGACAGGTGTGGCCCTTGGGACCCTGTGCAACTTCCTATGCTTCCTGTGGCATAGTAACTCTGGTACACACCCGAGACTGCAATTTTCTTTTTGTGGTCATGTTGCACTGGTGCCTGTAGGTATCTGAGTTATAGGAAATTTTCCCTTTGATTTAGCTGTAGAGATCCACTTCTTATTGTACAGACTTGCTTGAAACCCATATACCAGGACCTAGTATTCATGACTTTAAAATGGCACAAGTTAGATCCAAAGTCTCTGTTTTCCTTCCAGTTTTCTTATACTAAACTCCTTTTGATCCACCAGATTTCCAGAGTAATAAATTCCATTTCTGTAACTTCATTCTCATTTGCCATTTTGTCCTCCTGCTCAGAATCATCATCCTCACTGAAAACATAAATGAAAATCAATTGTACTTGCAGGCCATACTTAGGTAGGTTTCTGCTCTTTTCTTTTGGTTCATATGGCTAAAATCTCATTCTGATTTTCTGTGCTCAGCGAGTCTCACTTTACCTTTGTACTGCCTGGTATTTGTTGCTTCTGAAAATTTGCTGGGTTTAAACCAAAAGCCTTATTTAGAAACCCTATTTTTTTGTTTTTACCCTTCCTTTGCTTGAAACCAGTGTAAGGTCCCATAAACCAAAGTTCTATCACATAGCAGAAATGTCCTGAGAAAGAACAGGGAAAAGATGACATAGGTGAGTGTGGCTGTTGTGTGTAAGTTTGGTGATGACTTGTCAGCTTCAGTTTGCAACTTCAGGCTAACACAGATGTGCCTAAAGTACAACCAGTAACCCTGACAAATTGGTGACTGTCTTGCCAGATGGGCAAGGAAGCTGCCCTCCTCAGCTCTTTACAAGTGTTATTCAGCTCTGGCATGGGATTTCCCTGAGGGTGAAATCTGCAAAGCAGAATCAAAAGGTTCCCCTACCACCTGGATGTGACTCACCAGCGCAGAGATGTCCTGCATACTTGTAATTTCAGTCCCAGGAAATGGGAGAAACCCATTTAAGTCCTAGGAAATGGGAGAAACCAAAGGGGGAAACCCAGAGGCACTGTGCTACAGAGGGTTGTTCACACCTCTCTGCATACTAGGAGGTCTGTACGGTGAAAGGATGGCACCCACAATGTGCCTTTCACAGAAAGGTCAGACAACTGGACAAGCCACATGAATGAAATTGACTCCAAAAGAATACCCTTTGAAATCTGAACAAGAGCCTATAAAGATGAGGGACTGCACTCCTTGATTTGAATGTAAGCAGCAATAAATACCTCTGCAGTGCAAGAGTGCACATTAACCTGGCTCTGGATTGCCACAGATACCCCTCTGCAGGGCAGGCAGCTATTAAGGGTTTGCTGCTTATCCTTTTATCTCCCTCGGATGTAGTGAAGTGGAGCAGAGCATGCTGATATATTGCCCAGATATGGTGCCTACAGATGTCCTAACAAAAAACTCTCAGGATTCAGTTATGAGCACTTGAGATTAGTACAAAAAGAGAGTCTGTGGGAATGTCTCTCTTAGGCTGCTCTTCAGGGTGCATTTCTTTCCTTCATCACCTCTCTCTTCATCCTGATAATCACTGTGCAAAAGAGAGATGCAGTTTGTCATCCAGTGATGCTAGGAAATAAGGAGTACCATTAGAACTTCTGCTTGTCTTCCATAAAGATCTCATAACTTAGGGCTATTTAAAAACTCTCTGTCAGTTCTGTGTCCATACTTCTTATGAAACTACACTCATCAGCCTTGATTTCTCCACTTGGGCTCATAATTCCTTATCTCCTCATTTTTTTAAACAGCTATCTCATCTCACATCACTCTTAGCATAAACTGAGGTTGACTGATATCTGGATAACATCATTCACTGCTTTTGTGATCAGTTACACAACACAGCAAGGGGTTTCACATTCTTTCTTCAGCAGTCCTGGCTCTTGCTCCAAGGATAGAGCAAAAAAAAACCCAAGCAACCAAGCAACCAACCAAAGGGCAACTGTCAGTGCAGGTTAAGCTTTCCTGCGCAAAATCCAAGAAATATGCTTCTATTTCCCTGTGTACTGAGCTTACCTGCAAAAGGATCGTATTTCCATCATGGTCTTCTGTCTGCCACCTGCCTTCGCTGATGGGGCTGCAAGGGTTGGGCAGGAGAGGCACAAGCTGCCCCACATCTTTTACTCTGAATTCCAGCACGGCTGACTCTGTCCTCACCGGAACTTGTCCCTTTGGGAGTTTTTTTAAAGAAAACTGAATGTCTATTTCCATGTTAGAATACACAGGAAAAACACAAAAGTCTGCTTTTTTCTGACACATTGGTCTCTTCAGTATTAACTCATACAATTTCAAAATGTCCACAAAATTTTCATTCCTGCAGTATATGGTGAAGCGGATCATTTCTTTCCCGTAGTGCACTGGACGAATGGCCCACAGAGGAGTCTCTGGAGCCAACGTGTAAAAGTCTTGGCTGCAGGGGAGGTAAGGGAGGAATTTCCCGTGCATTAGCTCTGTGTGGTGGTAATGCCAAGGTGGCCGCTGAAAAGTTTCATGGAGCTGCAAGATGGGTTCTTCTCCATACTCCTCCTGCAGGAACAGAATGACAGCAAGGGCTGGCTGAGAAACACCAGCCTTGACCGGCTTCCTGCGCTTCCTGGGCACTCGCCTTTCTGAGACCCGAAACAGCTGGAGGTCTGGATGGATCCAGGCTAGAAGCTTATCAATGGCCTGCTGGAGAGTCTTGGATTCACCCGGGTCAGTGATAATATGTACGCTAACAAGGAATGGGTCTTGTATGCCTTCCACAGAAAGTTCACCTGAAACATTAAAAAAAAAAAAAAAAAGTCCTTTAAGATTTGCAAGTAAGTTGACAACACTTAGGTGACCCTTAAAGGAGAAACAGTTTACTCAGACATAGTGGGCTTTTCTTTTTCTCCATCTCTCTGAATCTCATTTGTAGTAAACAACAACAAAATGTGCAGCGATATAGCAACCAAGAAAATAATTAGAAGGCAGAGAAAAGTTTCATCAAGCATACCATAAGAGTTGCTGTTTCTCTGAGATAGCATCCAATAGGTGCTACTCAGTGTGCATTTCTATGTTAGAAAAGGCCTGTTCCATACAGTTGAGAGGTAGGAAAGACAAAAATACTGATGTAGAGTGGGGCTGTAAGGGACATTAATGATGTGCAGAATGATAAGGGTGGAGAGTGTTCATCCCACCTTGTTTTCATTTTTGCCAATTGGCTCAGGGCATGGAAATCACACCATTGAACTCAACTCTATCACCCTGACTCTGGAATTTTACACACAGTTAAGTGTTATATGTCCTGGAGGCAACTGTTCTAATAAGTAGGGCAATGTTTGTAGGGAAAGGTAATATTTTTTATTAGACCAACTGATATAGCTGGTAAAAAAAAAAAAAAAAAGCAGACAAGCCTTCAGGCACACAGGTCTTTCTTTAGAAAAATATATTACTTGTCCCTACAAATCCTGCACTGTTTATATTTTAGACTATCAGGACTGTAACCTGCTTCAAGGTTTTCTTAAAATTAGGGAAGACTTTTAAAGGGAGGAGGCACAAAAAAAATACACTTACTCAGGAGAAAAAAAGAAACCTCTAGTTAACCTTGGCAATGTTCAGAGGGGCTCTATCTCTTGTTTGTCCCTGAAACTTCTTTGATAGCCCAGCAGAGCACTGGCTGGTTAGAGGTCTAAGGAGAAACTGTTACTTCTTTTCTGCTGGAGTTACATGCCAATAAAGAGGCATGGTGATCCAAGACAATTTAATAAATTAATCAAGTAACCTTGATATTTTTGCTGTAATGGCTCCCCTTGTGTGGTATTCTGAAACCACCTCCATGTCTGAGACCCTGAGCTTGGGCACAAAGCCTAAATGTGAGAAGCCTTAAAAAGGCTTCCCAAGCTTTTCATCGTGCAGACCACATTTAATAAGGGGATTGTCTCAAAGGCTATTCCCCCTCCTATTAGCAATCAGTACAAACCTCTCCCTCCTCCCTCCTGGCATCAGAACAACATTCTTGTGATACTTCACCAATTGCTTTAATGGAAAAGCAGCTTTGTGCGAGGAGTGTATTTTAGCTGTCTTTCAATATAGAATAGCTGCAAGACCCAGAGAAAATTCAGATGCAACTGCATAGCTTTGCAGACAGAGATGACTGGTAAACACAACGTCGGCCTCAATTTAGAAGCTGCAGAAAGATATGGTACGCAGAACAAATAGCAAGCAAGCATCTTGCCTAGGGGAGATAAAGAAAAACCAAGTAAGTAATCAAAAATACAATTACAGCAGAGTTCTCCTATCTCTTCATGAAATGGGTGATGTGGAGTGACTTTGTCAGATGGCTAATGGAAGAAAAAAAATTGAAGCAAAAGGAAAAACGGTGTCAGTATGTGGCAAGAGGCTTTGCTGTGGCAGTCATTACTGGTAGGTAATTCTTTGAGATACCCCCTGTGGGTAGTCACAGTGTGGGAGAAAGACAAAAGGGGTGTGGGGGGAGGTCCTCTACATTGGACAGCAGAACAGGAAGGAAAACAAGTTGCAGAGGACAGTGATTTAATAAAACCTGAAACCTGATAACTACGTAGTCGGTCATTCATTTTCTAGGACCGGAATAGAAGATGTTCACTTTTTTTCTCTCTCTGATTCCTTTGTTACACAAAAGCCTGCAACAAGTGACAGGCTTGATATTTATGCATATAAATGACTGCAGCTCTGAAAGAAGCCTGGGCACAACAATGTGAAGCACGGAGCCATCGCTGCTGTCAGCTTCTTGCCCTACATTAAAAAAAAAAATCCCTGAGCACGGCTTTTCTACCCTCCTGTTGCTCAGCATGGTGCATGGACACTGAATGGCTAGAGCATTTTTCTGAAGTGGAGCCTTGTGGGAGCCAGTGGCAGCATTAGTATTCTGCAGCCATCGCTGCCTGTGCCCATCAGCACCAGATGCTCACAGAACCAGCCTCACAGGCACAGCACAAAGCCATCCTTAGGAGCCTGCGTTATATAGAGCAGAGCAAATCATTTTTTTGAGCTAGCAGCAACTATGTGAGTGCAACAGATCAGTACAAAAAGAGCTTCAGTTCTATTTTATGTTAGCACAGATGCTTTTACATGTTTCATTATGTGGCTTCTGTGCTTCTAAAATGGCAGCTCTTTCTGTTTGGGTAACAAAAAGAGGAACTTAAGCAGAAACGCGAGGCAAGGAGAAACCTTCCCTGAAATGAAAATCAGTTGCAAATTGTTTCTATGTTGCTAACAAGTCTTTTACCTTCATCTGACAAAGGAGGGGAAACAACACAATTTCTCATGACACAGTTCAATTTGTCCCAGGGCAAATTGTTACAGAAGCAAATGAAAGCTCTGCATATGTATTAGCCTTCCTGTGTTACTAGTTAATCCCACAGAAAATATCAAAATGCTGAGGCATCAATTTGAAAATAAGCTTCACAGTTCTCACAGCTATTACATTTTTTCCCTCTTCCTATGACAGAAGGGGATTAGGTCTCTCTGAGTTGGCAAAGCACTAACTTTGCTAAGAGGTAATTACTACCAGGATTGAAAGAGTATTTTACAATTTTACACTTTTTACTCCTCTGCTATGTAGTATTAACCACCCATGAGAGGTTAAAGCAGTCAGCCCAAATGCTGTGGAGCTGTTACACATGACCTCTTAAAGCTGGGAGCGGAAGATGGCCCTGATATTTTATGATTGTATGGGTCCTCCTCTACATATTATTTCTAATTTGTTGCCGATGTGATTCTGCTGAGCTGAGATAAAAGAAAATCCTGCAAAGCAGAATGGCAGTCCAGCCCTGTGGTTCTTCCTGCCCTCCTTGTCCTGCCCAGAAATCAGGATGTTTTCATCAGTAGGACAATCTGAAAGAAAGCAGTGGGTCCTGCCAAGTCTGCCTGTGCCAACCACCTCATTTTGGTGACTTCCCCACAACTGAAGCTGCCTGGGCTTGGCAACTTGCTATCCCAGTTGTCTACAGTTGCCTACATCGCCTGCTGTGTGCATGGAGAGAAGCAGCCACCTCTGAAAGACCTGTGGAGGATGATCTTGCCTTCCTCATTCTTTTCCTCCACTCACTCTGTAAGGAACAGCAGTACCTGCAGAGGACAACTCTCTTAGCATCCAGAGCTGCCTGGCTGGGTAGCTATGAGAACAGGGGCTGGTGAAAGGTATAGAGAAGAGATCTGATGAGGAGCAGCTGAGGGAGCTGGGGATGTTTAGCCTGGAGAAAAGGAGGCTCAGGGGAGACCTTGTCACTCTTTACAACTGCCTGAAGGGAGGGTGTAGCCAGGTGGGAGTCGGTGGAGGCTTAAACTGGGTATTAGGAGCAGTCTCTTCACCAAAAGGGTTGTCAAGCTTTGGAACAGGCTGCCCATGGAAGTGGTGCAGTTCCCATCCCTGGAAGTATTTAAAGGGCAGGTAGATGTGGCATGTGGTGACATGGCTTTGTGGTGGATTTGACAGTGCTGGGTTAATGGTTGGACTCGATGATCATAGAGGTGCTTTCCAATTTAAATAACAATATGATTCTATGATCTAGTGACACAAATACCCATGGGTGGAGTGGAAAGCAATGGGTTAAGTGGCTGGGGGGGCAGCCACCACCCCTGAGAGGTGCCATGAGGACTCAGGTATCACTCTTGCTGGCTGGGAAGGGAGGGCTCCTCACCCAAGGCAGGCCCAAGTGGGTATAAGGTCAGGACAGCAACCCCAGCAGCTGGGAAGCAGCTAGACTCGTCTGCAGTTACAGAGAACTGAATCTGACACTCCTTCTCCCTACAGTATGTATGCATTTAACTTTAACTCACACAAGAGGCAAAATGTCCCTAGAGTTTTCTTCCACATCACCTGCATAATCCTAGGTTAGAGAAGTCTCCCTCTTTCATTTGTTTTTTGGCCCTAGGTCTCTTGCACACCTTGCTTGAGCAAAACTCTGGCCATGACCTAGCAGTCTGGTCCCACTTTTACACCAAGACATACCCAGGTTACATTCCCTCTGGAGGTGCCCTGAGCAAAGACCCATTCCTTCCCATGGCAGTGTTCCAAGTACTTTTTTTATTTCAGGAGAAGTCACCATCTTCAGCAGTCTTGATGAGATCTGATTTTCCAGACTTCTTCAGTGACTAAACTCATCCCATAGCAGAGCTTAGGAAGGATATAAATACCTGTCTCTGAAATGTCTCTCCTCTGTCTCACCTGTGCTGGTGAAACAAAGGGTGAACCTAAAGACCTCTCAGACTTACCAGGAGTTGTTTAATGAAAAGTTACCTAAAGGGCCAAGGAAACCTGGTAAGTTTTGTAAGATAGGATTGAATTTACAATGAAGTGAGATTTTAGGCAGACTGGTTCTTGGTCCTAGTTTGCAGCATTTCCAAACTGTGGCAGATATTTTCAGGTTTCTAACCACATATATTTTCAATCTTCTATCCAGGAAACACAGAGAAAATATCCAACCTAAAAATAATTGATAATTTTTTTAAGAATATTTTTTCCAGCAATATTGCATTGAGAATCAGAACACTGGAACATAAACTTCCATGTTTTCCACCACAGCATGCTGCTTCTTGAGAACCAATATCTGAACCTGTCTTATGCCATACAGACCAGATTCCTCTATCACTACACCAGGCAGTAAAACTTGAAATTTCATTTGACCAAATTGCATGATGCAGTACCAGAGATGTAAATCGGGCAACAGGAGAGGTTCAGGGTGAATTTGCCAAGCTTCTGAACTTCAACTCCCATCAAGCAGTACTTCATTATCAAGAAATTACTGCTATT